CACTCCGGGACTGCTATCCCTCACTCCGGCCACCACTCCGGGACTGCTATCCCTCACTCCGGCCACCACTTCAGGACTGCTATCCCTCACACTCTGGCCCTGCTTCGGGACTGCTCCCTGTCAGTTGGCTGCTGCTCTGGGATTTGCCTCCAGGGCTCAGCAGCTCCTCCATTCCCCTAACACAGAGAGAGGGACAAAAAGAGGAGAGAAAAAAAGAAAGAAAACAAACAGACGAAGCAAAGGAGCTCCAGCTGGAGTGTTTCACTCTGCTGCCATCTTGATGAAAAGCCTCCCATTCAAGTTTTGTCTGAGACAGTCAACATTTTGTGTAGCTTCTCGTGGCAGGACAATGTGCTTTGAGGTAGTGTGGACCAGAGAACTTCCCATTGTACATCTTCCAGCCTTTAACAAGACCTCCTCAACTTCAAATAACCACATCAGGCTAGCCAAACACTTCTGATCTGGAAGAATGTAACAAAACTCCTTGTACTGAGGTAATTTATTTCTCAGCAGTTCTAATTTATCTCATTTCTTCAGGAGAGATGTTTTGCATATCGAACTTCCAAAAGGACCTCTGCAAACTGAAAGTATCATTGTTTGCTTTAAGCAAAAAAAACAATTTGGCTTCTCACTGATACATCTTTTGCTTTTGATACCAGTGACACTTGTCAGTACTCCTTCAACAGATCTATCTTAGAAATAAATGAAGTACTGCTTACTGCTTCAATACAATCTTTTTACTGAAGAACAAGGGATGAAGCTGTTTCATCACTGCAGTTACTGTTCTGTAATCTATGCAGAATCTAGTTAATCCATTCACTGCTTAGGAACTAACTCCATGGGTGAACTCCAACAACTTTGGCTAGGTTCAATCAGGTGATTTTCTAGCACTAAACAATCTCCATTTCCATTGAGCTTGTTTTCATGGACATAATTAATAAGAATGTTGTTTTATTGGCACTGATTCCACTACGCCCATATCATGCCTGGCTAACATTGTACATTCAGGTGTATCTCCACAAATGTCCTTGAATTTTCAAAGTAACCTCACTGGATCTTCCTGATGTCCTTTCTCTAAGTGTGAGAATACATTGTTTAACTGCTCCAGCATTTCAGTATTAGCTAGTCAGATTGTAAGAGATTCACTTTATAAACTACTCACGCCACCTTCTACTCACTGTTTGTCCTCCTCTGCCACTCCTGACACCTGACATGCCTGCTCTTTCTAATCTGCCTCTCTACAACGATATCGCTTCAATATATTTATTCTTTTTGCCGTAATCTGGAGGATGTACCATTTAAGTCACTTCATTAACCCTCCCAACAACCTTTATGGCTACCGAGTCTCTAAAAACATGGACACAAAATCCAACATTAAGGATTTGTCTCTTTGCTACAAAAACCATTCCTTGATCAATTTTAATGAATTGGTTATCCCATGACTGTAGCTAAATTAAAATGGACTAAACCCAATAGATTCATCTGGGGAATCTCTGGTAGCAAATGGTAAGAAATATAATCCTTTGTCTCAAATTTTGCAAATATTTTCAACAATATGCCTCGACCACTGTTTTGAGAGTCTAATAGCATCTCTGCAAACCCCCATATCTTTGCAGATGATATGTAGTGGGCTTCACCTGTTTTGTATCCAAACTACTTATTTTGTGCTGAAAAGTTTTAGACATGAAGTGAGAACTTTTGTCTGATTGTATTTCTGTTGGAAATTCATAAATTTGTGAAAAAACAATGAGTTAATATTTCCACCATTGCCTAAGCTGTAATAATCTTTAAAGGAATAGTTTCTGGAAATCTTGTTCTCATGTTCATAAATGTAAGGATTTACTGGTGTCCCACTTCCATTTTCAATTATGTTCTACACATCACTGAATGGTTATTCAAAAACTGCTATGAATACTAAAGATGTCAGTTTGATTACATCTTGAGGTCTTCCAATTACCTGACATGTATGGCATGTTTACTGAACTACAGTACATCCTGATGAAGTCATGGCCAGGTAAAATGATCCTTTACTGATGCTTGACCTCTCCATATTCCATTGCCTCTCATGATAGACAGCAATTTGGGAACAATCATGAAGTGCTTCCTTTTGATCCTTCTATCATCAGTTAGCCCTTCAGAGTACTCATAAGCGACTAAATTGCCTTGAAATGCTTGAGCATCCTTTAGGACAATGTTTGTCTGAGACAATCAACATTTTGTGCAGCTTCTCGTGGCAGGACAATGTGCTTTGAGGGAGCGTGGACCAGAGAACTTCCAACCTTTAACAAGACCTCCTCAACTTCAAATAACTACATCAGGCTAACCAAACACTTCTGATCTGGAAGACTGAAACAAAACTCCTTATACTGAGGTAACTTATTTCTCAGCAGTTCTAATTGATCTCATTTCTTCAGGAAAGATGTTTTGCACATCTAACTTCCAAAGGAACCTTTGCAAACTGAAAGTATGGTTGTCTGCTTTAAGCAAAACAAAAATTAGATTCTTCTAACAAAGCAAACTAAAGTTTTTCAATGTTTTCTTTAACTGCTTTTAAGACTGAAATTTACATTACCATTCCAGGAAATCACTCCCTCATTACCGGCTTTTAAAGAAAAATGATGGGTCCAGAAATACTGACAAGTTGATCATTAATCCCTTCAAACATACAGGCCAAAACACACATGCCGTTAGTTCAAAACCAAACCCTAAGATAAATGATATTAAAATATAGGTAAATCACAAACCTTGCATCACACCAAAGAAAAATGGAAATGTATCTTTAAGAGGCATTAAGAGACACAGATGCTGCCAAACCTGCTGAGTTTCTCCAGCAATTTCGGGTCCTGCTTCAGATTTCTAACATCTGCAGTTCTTTAGGGTTTTTTAAAATTCTAAGTTATTGCTGATGTATATTTCAAAATACAAGATCCAATGTTTCTTCCTCCTGTGCGGAAAATTTTTGTTGACCTGCAGTCAGTTTCTTTGATCCCTAGGGATCCACAATATGACCCAAATAAATTGCCTTTGCTTTGGCATATTCACTTTTAGCCAAGTTTTGTAATCAACTTGGCTTCTTGTAGCCAACTGGTATAAATAAGAGAGTGCAGCACAGCAGAATGTAGCTCACTGGGTGATTGCCCTCAGAGGTATCCCTAAATGATCCCTATTTCATCCCTATTTTGTCATTTTTCAATAATACAGTCCCAACATTGATGTTAAAAGTATCAACATGGCTTGAATGACTTCTCACAATTCAGCATGGATAAAAGCAGTGAGACTGTCAGCACACATTTTCAAGATACCCTGATACACCTACACATATTCAAATTCCCTGCCTTTCTTCACCAAATTCCTTAAAGGTGCAATAACAGTGCTGCAGCTCAGAAAAAAAAACTTGCAATAAAATCCACTCATGCCCACATATTGAAAAAATGTTATGTTTGGTCCAAGGCATGGGAAAATCCAAGCCCGAAGTTCCACTTCTCTAGGTGCAGTTTGCTCTTTTTCTACAATATGACCCAAATAAATTGCCTTTGCTTTGGCATATTCACTTTTAGCCAAATTTTGTAATCAATTTGGCTTCTTGTAGCCAACTGGTATAACTAAGAGAGTGCAGCACAGCAGAATGTAGCTCACTGGGTGATTGCCCCCAGAGGTATCCCTAGATGAGTGGTCACACTCCTTTCCAAATTGAGCATTTTCTCCTCGCATGGGTTACATCCATCAGCCTTCTCCTCTCTGCTCGATTACGCAACATATTCCCCTGCAGTGAGACAAAAAGAGACATTGAATATGATGAAAGTGGGTGGGAGAGTTGTTGGTGGTGAGGCAGGAATAGGAGGGGTAGTGTGGTCTCCCAAGTCAGTGAGCATTTGTGCAAAGGGTAGGAATGGTTCAAAGGAGGAGGTGGGTGAGAGCCAGTGTGTGTGCATGGTGCATGTAATAATGGGAGTGGCAGTCCATACTAGGAGTGTGCAGTGACAGGGTCTAAGTATGTGCTGGCCTTGTAAGTGTGACGTAGCAGGGAGAAAATGATGGCACTAACCTTAGTGAACTGGTAAAGATCATTGACCTTCGTCTTGCACTGCTGGGCATTGGTTTCCACTCAGAACACTGCACTGACCAGCTGTCTCAGTCCATCTCTATCTATCTCTCTCTATCAGTATCTCAGTCCGAGCTAGCACTGTCTGCTGGCATGATCTCCTTTGGTGGGTCAGCTGGATAAAGAAAAGCCCTGCTTCCCACCACCCCATACGCCAGCACCTCCAGGTCCCTGTTGATGTGTCTTTGTGAACCGTGTCCTCAGTAATAATCTTAAGGTACCAGAGTGTGAGGGTCACTTCCAGGCCGATAGCGGCCTGAGGGCTGGGGTTTGCATGTGGTGCCAGTGAAGCTGAACATCACAAACCTTCAGCAGCAGCGAACACTTCTGCATCTCCCACCACACTATTCCACAAATTGTAACAAAGAGACCAGGTATATAATTGGTGAGATGAAGAGGCGGATGATTGCTTGAGAAAGGTCGGCACGGGCCACGGTGACTTCATTCTGTGAATCTCACTTGGAAAACCGCTTTGGCAAAAGAAACGGGAAAATTCAGCCCAATGCATTGGGTCAAACCTAACTCCTCTTCAGAGCCATGGCTGGCACATTTAAACAACAACATGCATTTATATAGCACCTCCAATGTCTCAAGGATCTTCACAGGAATACCGTCAAACTAAACTTTACACTGAGCCAGGGATAAGGACAGCTGATCAAATTCTTTAGTAAAAACGTTTGGCTTAGGAAGCACCTCAGACAAGGAGGGAGAGGTAGTGAGGCAGAGAGTCTCGAGGAAGTGATTCCAGAGATTAGGGCCCAGGCGGCTGAAGCCACATTTACCAAAGGTGGGGGTGAAAGGATTCAGGGATGTGCAAGAGGTCAAAGTTGCAGCAGTCCCAGAGATTTATGGTGGAGAAGGAGAGTACAGAGATTTGGAGGGGCAAGACCTAGAGAAATTTGAGGATGAGAATGAACATTTTGTAACTGAACAAATTTATTGAATGGAAATGAAAGTTGGAAACTTAAGAGATTGCACAGTGTCTCCTTGCCAGCCCACCCTACGGAGTTTGCCATTTAGATTCTTTGGGGAGTGAGTATCTGTTACATTTCAGCGTGTAGGGCATCTGTTGTCAGACTTATTGTATCAATTTCATTTTGTATTGTTGGGAGATGAAGCAGTATAGTCTTTTCACCCATGACCTGACATTAATAATTAAAAATAGATTGTGGTAAATCACATAGCTGTGACTGAGTTCCCTAATTGTGGTCTTTCTTCTTTACAATCTAACATGGGCGTCATTATTATATTACATTATGAAACAGAAACCAATTCTTATGCACTGTCCTAATGCATTCTAACATGAAACGGAGGTGTTTTCGAATCTTTTTGATCAAAAACGTTAGGTAAACAAAGCTCAGTGAGTTTCAATGACAGTAAGATAATACACATACACTCAAAGTTGAAATATGCAAAGTTGAACCACAAGATCCCCACAAACATTAATACCAATGACCCACTAACTGGATTGGCCTCATATGACATTAAGAAATGGCTGAGGGTAATGGTTACAGAAGACAGACTACAGTCTGAAATATCCTGGCGATTGTGCTGCTATAGCTATAGGTAGCCTGTGTATCAGAGCCCAGCACTCTTCTAGCCAAGCCACGTTGCTGAAATTCTAACATCTAACTAAAACAATGAAGTTTATCAAACAAGTCTGGTATGGATAGTGTGAAAAGCCAAGATCTTTTCCCCAGGGTAGGGGAGTCCAAAACTAGAGGGCATAGGTTTAAGGTGAGAGGGGAAAGATTTGGAAGGGCTCTAAGGGTCAACATTTTCACGCAGAGGGTGCTGCGTGTATGGAATGAGCTGCCAGAGGAAGTGGTGGAGGCTGGTAAAATTACAACATTTAAAAGGCATCTGAATGGGTACATGAATGGGAAGCATTTAGAGGGATATGGGCCAAATGTTGGCAATTGGGACCAAATTAGTTTAGGATATCTAGTCAGCATTCATGATTTGTACAACCCTATACAACAAAGTGATAGAAGGAGAAATTAAGATTGCTATTAACTGTTGCCTATTTATCAACAACCTCTTCACTGAAGAAAAACAAATTGCTGGAAAACTCAGCAGGTCTGTCAGCATCTGTGGAGAGAAAGCAAAGCTAACATCTTGAATCTAGTGCACCTTCTTTAGAAGAGTCAAAATCTGAAGAAGGGGCACAGGATTCAAAATGTTAACTCTATTTCTCCCTCCATAGCTGCTGCCAGACCTGCTGATATTCTCTTGGAATTTCTGGTTTTGTTTCAGATTTCCAGCATCTGCACTTCTTTGTTTTCCCTCGTCACTGAAGTTTGTTAATGATATCCAGATTATCTTCAGTCAATCTTCAGTGGATACAAATGTTAGGTACTTGAAGGGGGAGCCACTTAGGGGAAGGTGATGACCTAGTGGTATTATCGCTGGACTGTTAATCCAGAGACCCAGGTAATGTTCTGGGGCACCCTGGTTCAAATCCCACCTTGGCAGATCGTAGAATTTAATGAAAATCTGGAATTAAGAGTCTGACAATGACCATGAATCCATTGCCGATTGTTGGACACGCTCATCTGGTTCACTAAGGCCCTTTAGGGAAGGAAACTGCTGTCCTTACCTGGTCTGGCCTACATGTAACTCCAAACCCACAGCAATTGGTTGACTCTTAACTGCCCTTTGGGCAATTGGGGAAAGGCAATAAATGTTGGCCTAGCCAGAGATGCCCTTATCCCATGAAAAAATAACTTGAAGACAAGGGAAGTATCTGCCTAGATAAATGTGACATGATCCACTTTGGTAGCAAAAACAAGGCAAATTATTATCTGAATGGTGATAGATTGGGAAAGGGGGAAGTGCAACAAAACTGGGTGTCCTTGTGCATCAGCCGCTGAAAGTGAGTGTGAAGGTAAAGCAGGCGGTGAAGAAGGCAAATGGTATGTTGGCCTTCATTACAATGGGATTTGATTGCAGGAGCAAGGATATCTTGCTGCAATTGTACAGGGCCTTGAAGAGATCACATCGAGCATATTGTGTGCAGTTTTGATCTCTTTATCTGAGGAAGAATGTTCTGGCAATCAAGGGAGGGCTCACCAGACTGATTCCTGGAATGGTAGGACTGATGTGTGAGGAGACACTGGATCACTTAGAACTATATTCACTGGAGTTGAAAAGAATGAGGAGGAAATCTCACATGGACTTAAAAAATTCCAACAGGACCAGATAGGGGAAATACAGGAAGGAGAACAATCAACAATGGATTTATGGTGATCATTCAACTCTTAATTCCAGATTTCTTTTTTTTTACTAAATTCAAATTCTACCACCTGCTGTGGAGGGATTTGAACCCAGATTTGTGGGATATTATCTAGGTCTCTAGATTAATAGTCAAGCAATAATACCACTAGGCCATCACCTTCCCTAAGTGCAGACAAGTCACAAACTTATCAGGCATCATTCTTTCTTTATCCCACCATTACTATCAAAGCTTGTAGATAGTTTCTTCCCAATCATTTTGTGACGATATGTGCCTCTAAGAGGGATTTGCCTGGCCTGGTTAGCTTGAAGGGTGTGTTGCAAACCTGGTGCTGACGTGTCTGCTCTATGGAAGGCTTAGGGAGATGATGGCCTAGTAGCATTACCGCTGGACTGTTAATCCAGAGACTCAGATAACGTTTTGGGGACCTGGGTTCAAATCCTGCCACGGCAGATGATGGAATTTGAATTCAATTAAAAAAAAAAGTCTGGAATAAGAATCTAATGATGACCATGAATCCATCATCAATTGTCAGGAAAAACCCACCTGGTTCACTAATGTCCTTCCTTTAGGGAAGGAAACTTCCATCCTTACCTGGTCTGGCCTCCATGTGACTCTAAACCCACAGCAATGTGGTTGACTCTGATCTGCCCTCTGGGCAATTAGGGATGGGCAATAAATGCTGCCTAGTCAGCGACACCCTCATCCTGTTAATAAATGAGGAAAAAAAGCTTTTTTTAAAAAAAAGTTAGACAAAAGAAGCATGAGCGGGTGGAGTCAGGCTCACAAAGACCCAGGGTTTTAGTTTGTGTTTTCAGTTGTTGAACTTGGTGTTTTTTTTTGGTTGCAGCTGCTAGATACAGCTCTCTCCATGCTGCTGCAAAAACGTGGAGTTCATTCTTTTGGTTTTTCCTTTCTCCTGGACTGGAAATAACATCGTGAGTAAATTTGTTTTGCTGAATTTGCCTCTGCCCAGGATGTGTTTATGGGATGCTGCTATATTAGAACAATTGATGAGCTAAATAATATATTATTTTATTAAATATTTCAATAAAATGAAAGTTAGGACAATTCTTCTTTTTCTGTTTGTATTTTAACTGTGGTATAAAAATAAAATGTGTTTTGCTTAAAGCCTAGTAGTCTGATGAAATCAAATCACATCTGGAACACAGCACCATACAGTTTCCTTTAAATGAGATAAAAGTTAGGGTCTAGGCTATCTCCTCTATATATTTTGAGAAGGCTTAGTCTGGTCCATAACAAACTGGGGGCTTGTTGGGATCAAAATCTCAAATTCCAGGTTGGGTTTAAAGTTATTGGACTCAAGGACAGTGAATGGTGAGTATTGGTGTTCTCTTTTCAGGTGTTGCAGGCATTTGGTTTAAATAGGGTGTGTGTTATGTAATAATGACTTTCAGAGCCTAAGAGTTTCCTGGGTGTAGAAGGAGTCACTTGGGTAGTTTACAGCAGATGAGTAAGGAAAAGCTTTCAGAATTGGGAAACAAGCTGAATTTGAGGTTTGCCTTTGTCTGTGAGGAAAGGGAAAGTAATTGCAGCAATAGCCCAGCATTTACAATCGCCAGGTATGCAGTCAGAATCTTTGGAAATAGCTAAAATTCAATTGCAAATGAAGCAGCTTGAATATGAAAAGGAAATGAAACAGTTTGAATGACCATTAAAAGCAGAAGAAAGGGGTTGTTACAAAGTTGGGTAGAGTATTTGTGAAGTGGAAGGCAGGAAGCTAAAATGTGTGGTTCCTTTAAGAGATTTGTGCTTTGTCTGTACCTAGAAATTAAAAAAAAATTGTAGGTCTGTGAGCAGCAGCTGAAGCTGCCAGTACAGAGAACCTCAAAAAGTGAAACAAGTGTATCAAAAAAAAAAGTCTTACAGGTGGCAGGCAAAACAGCAGTCTTGTTTTGATGTTGTGATGAGTTTAAATTTGGCCAATTAATTTAAAACCAAACTCAGTGATCCAAAGCCAATTGAATTTAAAAACTGATGGTGTTGACAACCTGAAACCAATCATACCATAAAAATTTGATTATGTCATTAAGGGCATATAAGACGAGGGCACTGGGAAAATCGAAGAGAGCGAACTGCCATCTGAAAGAGAGAGCCATTTACCACTTGCCAGAGTTAGCATCATTCAGCTCTCAGAGAAAGCCCATCTAATTAATCATAGGTGCCATGATATTTTAGCTCAAAGTCCTCACTGAAGAAATTACACACATAAAACATCCCTGACAGCAGAATTAGTGGAAGAAAGGTGTTTGTGAAGAGAGCAGAGATGACAGAAGATTCCAGAAGGCAATTTCTCCAATTTCGCACGGACTAAGTTATAATTTATTGCTTCTTATTAATTGGATTTTTATTAGTGGGACTTATCTTTATTTAAACAGCATTCCCGTAGAATTTAGACCAGTCAGGGAGTAGTTTTTAGTCTAAGGGGGAATTGTCGGTTTGTTAGTAATTTTAAGTTGTTCATTGTTGGGTTAAATAAATAAATAGTTTCTTGTTACTTGTAAAGCGGAGATCAGGGATCTTCTTTCCTTTAACCACTCTTTCAATAGATGACGAGGGGAAAGATAAGCTTCCCTGAGTGTTTCGGGGGTAACTATTAGACGGGAACCCCTTAATCCCGTCATAACAGATCGGGGCTTGTTTTAGTTTAATTATCAGAGGGGTTCGGCTATTCCCCATTGTGACAGGAGAGAGTTTTTGAACTTCGGAAGTTGGAACTAAAAAGTGAAAGTTGACTTAAAATGGCAGAGGTTGAGGTGAAAGTCGGGAATAGTGATGAGGACAGTGATGCAGAGAAAATTCGTCGCAGCAAAAGGCCTGGGGAGGATCTTTTTAAGTATGTCCAGGCATAACCAGGTCTCAACGAGGAAGACGTAGGAGCCTTTTGCATTTCATATGAGAAAGTGGCCAAACAATGAAATGGTCACCGGCCATGTGGGTATTGTTGATCTGAACACAGTTGGTAGGTAGAATTGGTGAGGTGTTTGCATCACTATCACAGGAGGTATCTGGGGAGTATGATGAGGTGAGAAAAGCCATCTTAAGTGAATATGGCCTGGTGCCAGAAGCCTACAGACAACGTTTTAGGAATCAAAGGAATGAACCTGGTCAAACGTACAGAGTTTGAAAGGATCAAACAAAGTAACTTTGGTAAGTGGATAAGGGCATTGAAAATACATCAAACGTATAATGTACTTACAGAGACTGTTATTTTGGAGGAGTTCAAAAATTCACTTCCTGGAATAGTGAGAATTCACATGCAGGATTAGCAGCAGAAATGGCCGATGATTATGAGTTGGTTCATAAATCGAAGATTGAAATTGATGTCTGAAGCCAATCTGTGAGGGACAGAAACTGGGGAAAAGAGAAATTCTCAGGTGGTAGGGGAAAAGGAGATCTCATTGAAGATAGTAAAGCTAGTTTACCATAGGTTAAAAAGGAAACCCATCAGGAGGGAAGAGAAGTAAAAAAAAAAAATCTCAGGTATCAAAGTAGGCCACAAGAAGATGCGGTGTTGGTGGTTTAGAAAAAGCACTGGGAAGATGGATACGGGAAAAGAGGATAGGCTAGTGGGTTTTGTTAAAATGGTAAAGGATGCACAGAGGAAGCTACATAGCTGCAAAAGAATGTACAACCTGGTCAGAGGGTGGTTGAGAAGAATGTGCCAGATCTCTTTAAAGAATTTACTTGTGTGGGTAAGGTTCACTCATTTGTACCAGCAGGAACAGGTAAAGACATTAAAATTTTAACAGATACGGGAGCAAGTCAATCTGTGCTGGTAAGAGGTGAGGAGATAGGTAATTCAGAAGGAGTATTGCCAGAAAAGGTGGTAATATGTTGAATTCATGATGTGAAGGGTTACGTTCCATTAGATGAAGTGAGGTTGGAGAGTCCAGTGAAAAGTGGTGGTAGGAGTAACAGAGAAATACAGTTTATCTTCAGTAATGATATAGCTAGATCACAGGTGGGAGTGATGCCTACTGTGGTTGAAAAGCCAGTGGAAAATGAAACAACTGAGGTGTTACAGCAAGTCTGTCCTGAGATTCTTCCTGTCTGTGTGGTAGCAAGGTCGCAATGCCATGGGTTAAAACAGGGGGATAAGTCAAAGAGTAAAGAGAAGGAAGTTCAAGTTCAATTATCAGAAGCTGTGTTTGATCAAATGATTGAGCCAAAAGAACAGGTGGAGAACAAAGTGGATATTTTTAGTTCAGAGAAGTTAGCTGAATTACAACAGAAAGGTGAAAAACTAAAGCCGTTGTATTAAAAAGGATACACGGAGGAAGAATCTGTGTATCCCAGAATGTTACTATCTTAAAAACGAAGTCTTGGTGAGGAAATGGAGACCATCACACATTGGGGCGGATTAAAATGGGCAAAAGTTCATCAAGTTGCATTACTGATGGTTATAGAAAGGTGGTGTTGCAGGTAGCACATCAGTTATTAGTAGGAGGTCATTTGGCAGTAAGGAAAACTTAAAATACAAATACATTTTTATTTGTCTGGACTACATAAAGATGCAGTTGAATTTTGCTGGACATGTCACAACTGTCAGGTAATGGGAAAACCTCAGGCAGTGATAAAACCAGCACCATTAATATCCTGAGATAGTAAGAACTGCAGATGCTGGAGTCATAGATAACAGTGTGGAGCTGGAGAAACACAGCAGGCCAAGCAGCATCTGGCCTGCTGTGTTTCTCCAGCTCCACACTGTGTTACACCGTTCATACCCTTATCCTTCTTGACTTCACCATTTTCCACCATGCCGTTAGTCAGCAGGGCCCTTAGCTTGGGAATTCCTTTCACACCTCTATTCCTTTTAAGACCCTCCTTGAACTTACCTCCTTGATTAAGATGCTGGTCATCTGTCATTACGATAAAGACACCATATAAACGCAACTTGTTGTTACTGACAAATCAGCTCACGTTTCTGCATATGTTTATATTTTATTCAATAACAGAAAGATACAAATTTTTTTATTATAATACAAAGCAAACTTTTCCTTTAAATTGTGTTGGCCCATGAAGTACACAACCGTTCCAGGCAATGTTTAGATACCACACTCCAAGACAGATGCAAAAAAAAAACTTTAAAAAAAGTTTATCTCGTTTTTTTAAAACTACAGTATACTGGGTTACGATTGATTCGTACTCAACGTTGCACCAGACGAAACATCTTTTTTAAAATTCCGTATTATTTCATCCACATTAACCTCATGCTAACAAAGAGGGGAAGAATATTAAGTACAGCACTCACTTTTTAAAAAAAAGGATAGTTCAAAACCCATAGAAATTAATGAGTACAATACATATTTAAAAATAAACTGGAGAGGGAAAAAAAAGGAATTTTATATATTTTAAGGCTTTTAAATGTGTATAAAAATAACAGACATTTTATCTCAAAAGTTTCAAATGAAATTAGTATGTGGCAGATGTAGTCATCAACATAGAAAATTTTTTAAACATTTAGTCATATGTACACAGGGGTAAGGAGTAACACTAAGACTTGGTTCCATCTCAGTAGCTAATGAATGGGGTTCGATACAAATATGTTTAAAAGGTTGTTTTCTCTTTTCATGTTCCCAGTGAGGAACCTGTCCTACCAAAAGAACATACTGGGAAATCATATGCCCCTGGCCACAACTGCCTCTCCATCAGAGCAGGGATAGGAAAATTCTGCACGTGCAAACAGTGATCGAACATTGTGCACTGCTGACACGCAAAGGTGAGCAAAAGGTGTGCAGTTGGAAATTTTTACACAACCTGCTTGGACAAATTATACCATACTTCCATATGCCATCAGATCGTGGGGTGAAATTCAAACTCAGATCATCTGCCTCGTAGATATGGACACTGCCACTGCACTGCACAATGCTCCAGCGTGCAGTTGGAACAGTCACCTTTTAATCCGAAAGATTCCTCAATTTACTGGTTTACAGAAGATGCCTTTTAAAGCTCACTGAATAGGACAGCAAGGGCTAGGTCTACTGAGAGCATGAGTTGCTCTCGGGACTGGATGCTTTGTTTTTTTTTGAGGGTGTCTTTTTGGAAATTGCAAGAATTTTAAATGGTCTGATTTTGTTTTATAGACCAGTGAGATTCGTCATTAAGAATTCCAATGCATTTGCAAGAGGGGCCACTTGATTAGTTACTGTGTGGAACGCCAGGTGGGAGCCAGGCTGTTTTCTTTCAGGTCTTTTGACTACAGAGAGCCCGATTCCTAAGCACTTTGGTGCCTATTACAAGAAACCATCATGATTGACCACTGCCCAAAAGAATAGAATTTTAAAATAAGTTAAATATTAAAAGGCCATCTGGATGACACAAATGAAATTGCTTTACAATTTCACCAACCGTTATAAAGTTCAGACATAAAGTCAGCGATCTCCATGATAAGCAAGATAGTCTTGCAGTTCTCTCACTGAAATAGCTTGTATTAGCCCTGCCAGAAACCATTTAAACTTCATGTTGAATTATTTTAATGTTAGATGAGAATTAACAGACCAATTGGCTGTTGGCTAACATTAAAATAAAGTTTAACTGGCCACAGGGTGAACAGACATAAGCAGAATACTGTAGTCCATGACCTAGGAATGCTGTGGATCTAATGGTATTAGCTTACACACCCCTGTCATTATTTCCTGCCATAGGCATCAGTCTCAAAAAGATAATGACAGCTGTACCTGATAGTTATATTTCGTCAGTTTGTTAACAATTTGCTTGTTGCTTCACCAAGTTAAGAAGAGTGAATTCAGAATTGCTCATATGTACAATCAGATCTTTGGTTAAAGACCAACCATCCATGGTTTCTGTGTCGTAGTACTTTGGTTATAGTTTTATCAGACAGTTGGGTTTTTTTGGGTCTGATTGTATAAGCTTGAAGGATGTGGTTTCTGTGGAAAATATGCATGGGATGTTTAGCTAATTTTGCAGGCTAGGTAGCTAGTGTCCATAGGCTACTGTCTCATGGGAAACATTATAAATAGAGTCACAGTATTGTTGTGATTGGTGCGTGGAGCCAAGCTTCTTGTCAGGTTGCTGCACAAACACAAGGAGCAGCAGGAGACGGGAGGGACACTCCTGTGGGAGCAGAGATTCTGACTGATGTTGGAATGGTCTGTTTTTTAAAATGAATGTAACGCAGCTGTCAAAGGATAGAAATGCTGCTCCATCAGCACGACATGCATGCTGTGCACTGGATGCACTGGTACACACGAGTGTGCTGCATTATTGCAGGTGTTAACTACTGCGTGGAAAAACAAGATGCACAAATAATTGTGAGTCCTAGTGTGTTATGCATTCACACATAAATTCCAGCAATCAGAATTTCTAAATTCTGGAGGCCTGGTTATTAAAATGGAACCTTGTTAGACCCTATAATTTGCAATGCAAGAAGAGTTTGTTTTTGACTACAGGAAATGTCAGAACGTGATCCCACCAATCCCATGCCGCTCATGTATTGCCCTCCCTCCTAATTTTTGTCTGCAGGAGTTTTAATGGGTCACCTCCATCAGCCAGTAAATGTCATGCCATCAGTGCTCTGGCAACAAGGGTCAATACCCCAATTGCCAATTCCTGTTGTGCATCTACCCTTGGAAAATCAAGTTTGGGCAGCACATTAATCTTCCTGCGGTTACTATGCCCATTGCAGCTTGGACATGTGAATCCCGAATGTAGGCTCCCAAGTGGGACAGGTTGCAGATCAGAAAAGGCAAAGCAAAAATCTACTCTATACAGTTCACTGGACTGGATTAACAGCAGAAGGCATGAGGTTATCTGAAAAGGATCTCCTGCAATAATGGCACAGTTCTAAAACTGCCATAAAAAGATAAAATGTAACATATTTCCAGCTCTGTTGCCAAAATGGTCAAACGTCAGGACAGCACTGTTTAAAAACTGAGCTGATTTCTGTTGCCCAGTATGACATTAACAGCTCAGTGCTTGCAAACAGGAAGACTGAATTGGCAGTGTGAGATTGATTACAGAAGAGCCTGTTGCAAGGTCTGTGCTTCTCCACACATCGCCATAATTTTCTCATGAGGGTGGTGGCTCATGCCAGAATTTAAACAATGCAGATGGTGATTGTTAGCAATAGACTGATTACAAGTTCAGAATTCCTGATGGCATTGTGGCTCCCAGAGTCACTGACAACGTTGTAAAACAAATGGCATTTCAGAGTGAGTGAAATTACAGTGTAACAAAATAAGACTTCAGTAATAGTAATAGCTATCAGACTGGTGTGTTCGGTGTCTTCCCATGAAACACCCTGACTGGCCCACTCCCCTCTGGTCACATTCATGATCCCACACCCACTTATGGTATCTGGATCGTAATATTCAACTCCCAGCAGGCCCTGAAATGCTTCACTGATACATGTTTTGGGCCACAACCTGAAACTGTTCTCTCCCCTGGGGGAAATACATTAAGAAGTCAGTTGCAACCTAAACACAAACTGAGCTTTTCTTTCGGAATTACAAATCTCGTCCCAATCGGCACAGCACCTGGTTTTGTGAATGATGGAAGAACTGGCGTACGACGTTAATATTGGTCCTTTGATACGTGTTGGGGAACCTGACCTGCCACTCCACTTTACAAAGAACGCCAGCATGCTGGAGTATGGGGCCCAAAGTCATTTTGTGCTGCTCCAAAACGCTCACTCCTCCTGGGTAATTTGGCCATGAGAGGCACCTTGAATGTGCACGAACAACTTCACACATACACACAGATACAATCCAGGAGGGGTGACTGGAAGAGGAGAAGCAAAACCCCAGTTGGTTTATTTTAATTTCCCTAGCCTGATGGTACAGAGGCTAACTGTGAAACTGCTACAACATTCTGGCTTATAGGAGGTGATGCTGCTAGCGTGCCTACTGTCCTCTGACTGGCACTTCAATGTTGCAAGTGACTGAGGTGCCCTAATCTTGTACGTTTCATTGTCAAAGTTGTTCTCACTAACAAAGCCAAACCAGCAACCTCACTGGCAGCCGGTGGAACCCAGCACAGAGGGGATAGGACACAGGCTTGTACCCATGACATTTTGTTCATCAAAGCTATGCAAACGAGGCTTGTGACAAGGGGAAGGGTTGGAAGGGACATTTGGGCCATGCTTTCAGAAATTAGTAACCTGTTAGAATGAAATAAACTAACCCTTAAGGAATTAACCCAACCTGAAAACTGAAAGACTGCATATGCTGTAAATCAGGGACAAAAACAAAGTTGCTGGAAAAGCTCAGCAGGTCTGGCAGCATCTGTGAAGAAAATGTCAATTAAGTTTTCAGGTCCAGTGACCCTGGTTCTGATTCACCTGACCTGAAACGTTAACTCTAATTTTTTTATTCACAGATGCTGCCAAACCTGCTGAGCTTTTCCGGCAATTTCTGTTTGTGTTCCTGATTTACAGCATCCGCAGTTCTTTCGGTTTTTATTTACTTCTCAGCTGTGATATTTCTATAGTCAAATAGTCACCGATTACTATCCCCCACATTGAGATGGCAGAAACTGCCTATTGCACACAGCCTGACAGAGTAGCTTCAGAAGGACAGAGGGTGAAAATGAACAGGATAGATCAATAAATGCTTATGCTGTACCTCAGAAAATTTACATCTTTACAACACAGATGTAGCCAAGAACACACCAACAGATTTGCACACAGAACATCAGAAAGTGGACCAGTTTGCTAGGTTCACGTTGACTGTCAGCGCAGTGGGGAGTACACTTTGCCATGTTGATGTTTCAATTTCAGGAATCAAATCGACAAGTGTGAAATCACTTTGGGCACGTTTCTGCTGGTCAGTGCTGTGGCCCATCCTGAGGACTGCGATCTAATGAGACGTGGGTAAGAGGCCAACTTCATTTCATATGGGTCCGTGTGCTTCAGAGCAGTGAAGGAGGACATTGGCTGTAAATAATGTGGCTAGGTTGGTCTGGTGATGTACAGCACAGAATGTTCAACCCAGCCCTATCTAAAACTGAGAGCTGATTCCCAGTGAGGCAGTGGACAGCAAGATGGCAACATTGAAAGAAAATCAGCTATAATTGGTACAATGCTGATCTTACCACAAAACAGGCTGTACCCAATCATATCGCCAAGATTTGTGAAAGACATGAAGAGAAGTAACATGAGTACTGCACTACTTTTAATTAATTCCACTTTGATTCCAATACTGGATTCATCTAAACACTGGGCACAGGACTGTTAATGTTATAGATTTGAGAGTAAAACCAAAAGAACTGTGGATGCTGTAAATCAGGAACAAAAACAGAAGTTGCTGGAAAAGCTCAGCAGGTCTGGCAGCATCTGTGAAGGAAAAAACAGAGTTAAAGTTTCGGGTCCGGTGACCTTTTCTCAGAACTCCTGATCTGAGAGTGATGAACTAACTACAACACTGGCTGAGATAACAAGGTGTAGAGCTGGATGAACACAGCAGGCCAAGCAGCATCAGAGGAGCAGGAAGGCTGATGTTTTGGGCCTAGACCCTCTGGCTGCTACCAGTTTTTGAAATTCATCCTGCTCTTTAGTCATGACCTACAACAAATCGACCAGAGTGAAGTTCACTTACTATTCACCGCTAGCCTAAGTCCCCTTAAGCTAAAGGGGATCACCAAGTCTCTGATTTTATCCAGACAGCCAAAGCCTAGGCCAACTCAGAGAGGAGGGAGTTCCACTCTGGGCCTGTCCCAGGAATGTCTGAAATGGCACAGTTTCCAGGGGTTTGGAATTTTGAGAATTATTTGTGCAGCCAGTCATGGTGGAAAGGTGAATAGAAATAACGTTGACATGAGGAAGAGATGCGATTGAGAATTCTAGTTGTAGCTTCCTAAGTGATTAAGTGAGATTTCCACGTCCCCACGCACTGTGTAAGTCAGCTCTTATTTCAAGTTGGAATCATGTAACTGTGTGTGTGATTCACACGTGACAGCACACCGAGGTAAAACAATGATCATCCAGTGTGCGGTTTTCAGGCACAAATGCTGCCTGGGTCAAAGGTCACATGACAGAAAACTCAGCCATGCCCTTGTTTGTCATCCACACATTATGCAATCAAAGATGCTGGCTTCTTTGCCTGTACTTTCTGCGTGAGAACCGTGAACAATGCTGAGCAGAGTTCTGATATCTCGCCCGTATGACCAATTCCTCTATTCAGACTGTATTGTCAGCAAGCTACCAATTGTGATGGGTGTCATAGACCAGCCTGATCTTGATGTCATGTGAGCAGCAGCGGTTGGAGGTGGAGTTCTCCCTTTCCCTAGCCTGGGGATGCGGAAACCAACAGTTGTGTCGTGACTCCATCCCTGGCATCAAAACCAACACCAGATCAAACTACTCTGCCATTAGTGTTGCTGACATTGGAGGATATAAATCCACGGACTTTCTGTAATCACTCCTGCTGCAAGGAACAAATGTATGGATTCAGGGCAAGAGTCAAAAACATTTGGATTTCTCATAATACAGTACACTATGCAGCCAAGAGGACAGATTTTATCCCTGTTTATACACCTCCCATGTCTCATTACACCTCTACTGGACTCCTAAACTGTCAACACATGCTCAGGCCTCAGATTACTCGTGTCCTTCAAGTTTCGAAATGCCAGGTATAAAGGTAGCACATGAAACGGTTATACTGGAGACAGCAACGACTACATTCGTCGGGTCTGACACAGGAACTCTCTACTCTCTGGGTTACTGCTATCAAAGCTCTGCCACCAGTCAATCTTAAAAGCTGATGAGATAACGAAGGGGTTTGTCTGCAGGAACCTGGAGAAGGCAGCAGCTCCTGCAGCACAGTGAAGACTGGGGTAGGCTGGTAGGAACGTGGCAATGTCACTGGAGCAGGGATCCATGTGCCGCCTGACCTGCTGAGTTTCTCCAGCACTTTCTGTTTCTATTTCAGATCTCCACAGTATAGCAATAACGGGTTTATCACTAGTAATCCAGAGGACTTGTATTCAAATCCCTCCACTCCAAAATTTAAAGGTAATTGATAAATTGTCATCGGAAACCCATCTGGTTCACTTTCGGGAAACCTACTATCCTTACCTGGTGTGGTCTACACATGACTCCAAACCCACCCGTGTTTGGCTCTCAACCGCCCTCTGAACTGGCCTTAGCAAGACAAAGGCAACTAGAGATGGGTGACAAATGCTGAACTTATCATATCCCAGGGAAGAATAAGAAAATTGTGCTGAACTGTTTTAAGAAAAAAAACATTCACAGGAGGTGGATGCCTCTGGCCAGGCCAGTATTTTGCTCCCCATTGTACCTGCTCAGAGGGCAGTCAAGAGTCAACCACATTGCTGTGGGCCTGGAGTGACAATGTAGGCCAGACCAGGTAAAGACAACAAAGTCCCTTCCCTAACAAGGACAGCAGTGGTACCAGATGGTTTTTTTAAAACAACAAGGGTTACATGGTCATCATTAGGCCAGCTCTATATTTCAGTTTTCAATTCAACTGAAATGTCACCCTCTGTCATGGTGGTATTCAAAGCCATGTCTACAGAACATTAACCTGGGATTCGGGATTACTCGTCCAGTGACTATTCACCACTGTTTCCACTATTCCACTGCCTTCTCTGAGATAGGAGCGAGGAGCAAATTTTGAAGATTGTTTGTCTGACCTCCAAGTGGTCTTACTGGAGGTGGCGTCAAGGATTTCCAAATTGCTCCCTCCAGTTTAGTATTTCCTCCTGACCTCACCATGCCCAGAGGCCCCAATCTTGCCCTTGCCTCCTGAGCGTATACCAGCTCCAGACAAAGAAAGAGTTGGCAAGATCTCAGGAGCTGGCAGTCTCAGCCTCATCAAAACACGGTGGTGGCAACAGAGCCAACAGTGTTGGGCAAACAGACGAAGGCTTCAATTGGAGTAATTAGTGATTGTATGTGTGTGAGGGGTGTTGTGCCTACATGGTGTGTGTGTGTGTCTGTGTCTATGTTGGATGTATGTGGTGTGTGTGTGTATATGTGCATGCATGGAGACAGCTGTGTGTCTGGTTCTGTGTGTGGGCGTGGGAGTGTATGTTTGTGTGTGTCTGTTTATGTAGCTGTCCATGTGCGTACGTGTATCTCGACATGGATGTGGATGTATGTCCGTGTTGGTGTATATGTGTGCCTGTCTGCATCGGCCTTCTCCCTGGTTGCCTGCTCTCTGTTTGGGCATTCCTATTGATCCACCTGCCTGCACAATCCACCCTGTACACACTGCAATCCAAGAGGGGCCTGGACCCAGGTCCTGCTGCCTGCCTTTCTTCTAACTCTGGAAGATTTTAGAAAGCGCTCTTTTGGCTTAGGAACCTATTTAAAATAAAAAAAGAGTAGGCCATTCAGCCCCTCCGTCATGCAATTGGATCTTGGCTGATCAGTATCATATCTCTGTCAATTTGGAAGAGTAGTTGAGGTGGGAAACCTCACAACTTTTAAAAAGTACTTGGATGAGCTCTTGAAATGTCACAACATTCAAGGCTATGATGGGTCAAGGGCTGGAAATGAGTACTAACGTCGATTTAGAATAGTTATTTGTCAGTGCAGACTCAATGGGGCGAACGGCCTCTTCTTTATTGTGTGAATCTAGGATTCTGTTCGCTTTATATCTATAACCTTTATTGGTCATTCTCATGCCTGCATTTTCTCATTTCCCCGGGATCTGATTTTAAATTTTTTTGATAACAATCCTAAGTCAGTTTCCTGTAAGCAGACTGGCATTTTTAAAAGGTAGAGTTACTCAGGGTGCATACAGATTGATTTTCCACTTCTTCTTATGGTCCCTGGTTTCCACCTCGTGCAGGCAGCTTTCAGGACAGCAGGTGTGCTGCAGCAGCTCTCAGTGGCCCAGGTTTGGTGGAACATAAAACAATTCAGAGTTCTTGCTTGAGATCACTGCCCAAAGACCCATACTGGGGCACAGGGCTTGTCCAAGCTCAGATTCCCTTCATACCTGAGCAGGCAGACAGACAGACAGACAGACTGCCTGCCAGCACTCATGTGGAAAGACTGATCTGTTAGGTGAGACATTGGAACCAGCAGAGGAGGGTGAAACATGAGGGGTGGGCGGCGTTTAGGATAGAGAGGCTTCCCTAGACCTGCATTCACCTAATATCCATCCACTCTACAGTTCTGGAATCAACAGTGAATCTAAAACACGGCATTGAGTATCAGTCTGAGATGGGATAGAAAGAATTGCCAATGCTGGAGTCAGAGATAACACAGAGTGGAACTGGAAGAACACAGCAGGCCAGGCAGCATCAGAGGAGCAGGAAAGCTGACGTTTCGGGTCGGGACCCTTCTTTGGAAGACATCAAACAGTCCATTTCTGTCCCGACCCG